AATATTCTGAAAAATACATTTTTATTTATTAGAAGAATAGAGTAAAAATATGCTTTATTGTCATTTAAAGATATATAGACAATATAGATATCGAAAGATTTATAGGCAAAGTTTACAAAGAGTCAGAAAAAAACAATAGCTAATACAATTTACTAAAATTATACAGATCGTCAATATAAATAAAAAATAATGAAGTAAAACAAAACCAATCTATTGCAAAATTTAAATAAATTACAAACTGCATAATTTACGTTTTTTTTTTTGACAGTTTTACAACTGTTACAAAAATTTTGTTTTTTTTTTAGATGACGAAACTAACGATTTTTCCTTTGATTCTGACCTAGACCCTCTATTCTTACCATACAGCAATGAAGAAATTGCATATATAGCTCGTTCGGTACGGCATTTTATTTCTTGTTGAGGATCCCATTGGTCATTCATCATCATTCCCAAATATTTAAATGTTTTCACTTGATCGATTAGAGCATTGGAGCATTCTAGTTTAGTTTTTGTGGCCTTAGGTTCAAGACATATTTAGCGAGACAATTGGTTGAATACTTAGAAACAATTAACTCCTACACTTCCTTTAAATTCATGACAATTTCCTAATCGTTCGTTTATTCATTCAATTTCCTAACCTTCCCATTGAAAACACTATTGTGTGACTGAACAAAAAGGATTCAACAGGAACGCACGCTTCACGCTAAGATGCCCTTCATAGCGACTTTATTTTAACACAAACAATACAGGCAACGGTAAATGATATAAAAGGAAAGACGATGGGAAATACAATAACTAACAAAGTCCTACCATCTCGGATTCACACAACACTGAAAAAGGCAGTTTAGATTTTCCGTTTGGTACATTTGAAAAATTCCCATAAAATTAATCTAATAGTTGGATTTCGACTACATAAATAGAGAATAGAAGCAACGTTCTGCGGCAGTATGATTTTTGTTGGGAGATGGCTGCAAATAAGAATTTTATCGCTTCTTGATTATACCGACATTGAAACCTCTAGTGGTTAAGGTCGTCATAACTGCCATTACATTCACATACATTAGTTTCGGAAAGTTTTATTTTATATAGGTAAGCGTTTACTGCAGCATGTCCAAAAAGGCATCTAACGTACATAGTATAAATTTTCCGAGAGATAGGGTTTCTTTTATTTGGGGGAGTAGATGAAACAGTTGGATATATACTGCAGTATGTATTTTTACTACTGTTAGTAAAGGATTGCCACTCAATTTCCCAATTTAATCTAACTTGTTTCTTCCTAGCTGAAACTAAATCACATTTGGGTAACTCGTTGTATTTTATATCCACTAAAGTAGCGTCTTTAGTCAAATGGTCAACTTTTTCATTGCCTGGAATATTAGAGTGCCTTTAACCCACACAAAGTTAACAATTCTTTTTAGAGAAGTTAGGATCCTTAGCTTTTCAAGCGCACTTACAATTAGTCTGTTGGTATATATGTGTTTAGAGAAGTGTCTTAATGCGAGGAGGACGGACTCTGAGTCAGATAAAATTATATATCGTTTGAAATATAATGTTCTATTAATTATCCAATCCAACGCCTTGACAATGGCTACCAATTCAGCTGTGAATATTGAGCAATATGATTTTAATTTGTTCTGAAAATAATCTTGAATATTGTCTATGTAAATGGCACAGCCAACACCAGCAGATGATTTTGAGCCATCGGTATAAATTTTACAAGATTGGTTACAGTCTTTCAGATTGTTCTGTACTACTAAATATTCGTGAACAATTAAAATAGATGAAGGAATTACTACAACAGGTTTATATTTATATAGTATGGTATAATTGGAGCCAAAGAATGGAATCCCTTCTCCATTGAATAAATATTGTGATAAATTGGGAAAAGCAACAGCTAAAGTTGGAGAGTTTTTATTTGCCCACGATTTTCTTGTTAGATTTTCAACAGAGACGAGATAATTTTTGTAATAAGCTGTTTTCATTATTAAACTGGCATTTAAGAATAAATTTTTTTGTCAAAAATAGACGTCTTAAATATAAAGGTGTCTGCCAAAAGGGCTCCTGTAGGAGTAGATTTGAGAGCTCCTAGGACTAACCTTGAAGCTTTGTAGTGTATTCGCTCCAATCTAATCAAACGGGATTTAGTCGCTGATCCATAGAAAAAGCTGCCATAGTCAAAAATTGATCGGAATAGGCTCTGTAAAATATTAAGTTTATTAAGGATATTAAGGCTTTTTCACATTTGGTAATGCAATTATTAATATGCTCGTTCCAGGTTAATTTTGAATCCCATGTAACACCTAGGTATGTAAAACTGTTGTATACAGGAATTTCCAGCTAGAAGAATTTTAACGTACTAACTTTTGGTAACCTGTGTCTCGAAAAAAATACTACACCTGACTTCTTAGGTGAGATGTCAAGCCCATGACTATCAAAATACTTTTTGCATTAAGACATATTATAATTTTAATAAATTTACATGTTATTACAGAACATTTGCATGTTTATTTTAAAAAAGTTTATTACAATGTATTTTTCGAAAGCCTTCTAATAACTTTAAGTGGTTGACTTGGGTTTATATGCTTAACTAGAAAAAGAATTCGCCGCACTCCCACAAACAACGTGCGTCGTTAGCACGTCCATTTTCTAAATAACCCCCGCATTTCCTAACAGACGGACAAAGGTTGTGATCCCATTAAACATTAAAGGATTGCAATGGGAATGAAAAGCGCCAGTAGCTGTTTTAGATCTGAACAATGTATTAAGTTGTTGTGTGTAATTTAGATTATTTCCCAAAGGCGTACACAATTGAACTGAAATCTCAACTTAACCTGAATTAGTTTATCCTGTATGGTCGACGACACACAGATATTAACTTAAAAAATCGAATAATATTAAAAGAAATAATTACGACTTAGCAGAAATATATTTATATTTAAAAAATATTATTGAAATTTTGAAAACAATGCATTTTTTTTTTCAAATAACTTAAAAAGTATTAGTGATTCGAAAAATCTTGAAGAGTAAAAAAAAATATAGGTTTTGCTTTTCTAAACATTTTGGTTTTTTTGTTTTTGTATGTACCTACAACACCAAATTTGTACGTAAAAGCGTACAATTCTGCGTAGAAAACAATCTGTTACTAGCAAATACCTTCTTCAAACAACATTTTGCTCAATAACACATTTAAGACGTACATACAATCTACGAAAACATACCCTGGAGCTGATATACATAGCGATCACAATCCAGTTATAATGGATTTTAGATTAAAAAGATTTCTCAAAGTCAAAAAGAAAACAGTGACAAGAAAAATAGACATCTCACAACTGAAGAATCCTGAACAGAAAAAAGAAATAAGTATCAAGCTTGAGGAAGAAATAAAAACGATCGAAAACTTGGTACAGACAGACATTGAAGTAACATGGACTGCTCTAAAAACAAGAATATCAAAGAAACAAGAAGAAGACATCGGGTTCATAAAACACAACAAAAAACAAGAATGGATAACGCAAGAGATGATGGACCTCTACAAAACTACAACTACAATTGCCATTTAGATCGCCACCTTCCAAAGGAGATGGCGCCATGAGAAGAAGAAGCGTAAATTCTTGTAACTGCATAACATGATATGATAATGACCAAGGTAAATTCTTAAAATTTGGTAAAATTTGGCCTTCCCGTATATTCTGGACCTATCCATGAACCAGGTGAGCCCGCTTTGACGAATCAGTGCAGGCTCTCGTTCCATCCACTCATCCCGTTTAGGAAAGTGAACCAAGAAGGAAGTAGAGGACTCAATTGGGGGATCCATACTGTCTTGTATCATAGAGAGCACAGGACAGCAATCAAGGACCTGTCTCCAGATGTCATAATGACCGATCTGAATATTAATTTTCAACAAATTGTGCTCTATAATAAGATGTAGAGAGGATAAATCCAGCAAAGCCTCGAGAGTCGCTGTAGGAGTGATCCTCATGGCTCCTGAGATGACAACGCATGCCAACCGCTGGAAGTGAGTAGCTGGGCCTTAGCTAAAGCCAGTCTAGCCCGGGGCCGCCACACAATGGCCGCATACGTCAAGATATGCCTTGTCATGGATTGATACACCCAATATAAAATTTTCGACTGCATGTTTCTTCCATGAAAGAGTAGAGTCAAGGATCACTCCTAGGTACTTCACTGACTTGGAAACCGATAAAGTTTTACCATAGTAGATAAGCTGTCTTGTAGGTCTGATGGCCCTTCTCCACGTGAACAGAACCACAGCAGTCTTCTCAGTATTCCCCCGAGTGCCTGCTGCCGATACACACCTATGATGATTATCCTATCTTTCTTTGCATGATGCAGAGCATTAAGGGATGGTGCAGATCCTAAAAAGGTTGGGATCTCCAAAATGTGTGTACAGCTTACTACTTATTAGAAGGACAAAAATACATAAACTTCATAACATGGCAAGGCCATGGTGAAAGAAGGTCTTCTGCTAAGGAAGAAGTAATCCAGACCGTAGAAGAACGTCATGGATATGAAATTTGAACGAATAGTTTGGCCGCTCCGTAAATAAGCCTTTTAGATCAGCTTTATAGTAAAAAAAAACTTAATGATTATATCTTAGAAAAGAGCGAAGTTATGCGAGTATATATTTAACAGTAAACAAAATAAAAACAATATTATTTACAATTTTATCATACAGACGAATTTTTCGGTGTCGAAAATTTATTGTGGCAGAATGATTTACGAAGTAAATATTTATCTACTTGTATTATAAATATAGACACAAACAAATACAATATCGATGATCTAAACCTACTAAATTTTATTACTACTTGCGTATATATCAGTGCTTCATCTTAACCAGGATTTGACTGGAAAATGTATTAATATTTACCACCAACTCGCTTTATTTTCGCCTTAACTTATCTACATCGCCTTTATTATTCGTTAAACAGAACAATAAGAATCTTTGTACAAAGTAAACAATCTGATAACCTCATAAGCAATACTGTTCGTATCTAATTAAGGATTTTTCAATTTAATATTGTCTAATTTTTGCTTGTGTGTGGATTTTCGAACTAATTTTACGATTCGGTGAAAATTACTCCGTTTAGGATTAAATTATGTTCATGTAAGTACACGTGATTTTTATATAGGTTGTATTTACGGAATAATTGATTGATTAGCTTCTAAAAACCGGGAAAGTGAGTTAGAGTCACGGTTTTCTTTTTTAAAAACGCCTATTTTCCTATCTTCGTTTTCCTATAGCGTTCATCTTATATATTTAAATCTAGTATTATTTATCATTATTCTTCAGGCTGTTTGCATCCACTCCTGCACAAAGGCTTCCCCATGAGGTTTCCACTCTTCTCTCTTATGTCGTATTTGATACCAGTTTTTCCCCACTTTTGCTTTGATGTCGTTTCTCATCTTCTTTTGGTTTCTATTCGTTTCGAATATTGGCGATCATTCTGGCTATAATTATTTTATTAACTGATACTTTAAATGGATTAGTTGTTGTTGTGGAGAACAATTTTCTCAGATTTTTTAACCATGATATTCTTCTTCTCCCAATTACTCGCTTTCTTTCTCGTTTTAATCGGATACATCACTTCTCTTTCGTTCCCCATTCTTCGTAGTACAACATCGTTGGTTATCATGTCTGTCCATAATATCCTTAATATTCTTCTGTATAGCCATATCTCGAAGTCTTCAAGTGTTTTCCCCATCGCTTCAGTGAGTGTCCAGGATCTAACTTCGTAGGAGCCTTACTTCTTTATCCAGATTAGGGTTGGGGCTTTTAAATAGTTTGGCCATGTTGTTGAATGCACTCCTAGCCTTCTCTATTTAACATTTTACTTCTTGTTAGTGATCCCATTGTTCGTTTACTATTGTTTCAAGATAGGTAAATTGTTTTACTCAGTCCACTGGTGTATTCTTGATAAGCAGTTGGACGTCTCTAATTTTATTTTTGCTGATGACCATAAATTTAGTTTTTGATATGTTTACTTGTAGTCCAAATATTTCACTTACTTCATCTAGTTTGTTTATTAGTTGCTGTAAACTGATTAAATTGTCTGCAAATATAACGGTGTCAACTGCATATCGGATGTTGTTTAGGTGTTCTCCATTTAAAAGGATTCCATGTGCGCAATTTTCCAAGGCATCACTAAATATTTGCTCCCAATATAGATTGAATATTATAGGTGAAAGTATACATCCATGTCTAACGGCTCGCAGAATCTGGATCGCTTCCGTCGGTTCATCTCCAAGATTTCATCTTATTATGGTTGATTGTTTCCAGTATAAATTTTGTATTATACGCCTGTCTTTATCATCCATTTTGGGTTTTTGTTAGAACATCCATCATTTTTTGATGTTGAACTGTGTCAAATGCTTTTTGGTAAACTACAAAGCAGGTATAGATATCGCAAGTCATATCTCTGCATCTCTGCAATAATACTTGTATATTGTTGTGTATATGGCTCATTAGACTTATTAGCTTATATTCTCCGCACTTTTTCGCTCCCTGTTTTATTGGTAACATAATAAATCCTGAAACTAGCCAATCTTTTGGACTATTGACTGTGTCATAGATATTATAAAAGAATTTACATAGGTAGTATTTTTAAAGATTCATCATCAAGAAATTTATGAAATTCAGACTGTATTCCTTGAGCGTCAGACTGTATTCCGTCTGGGCCTTGAGCTCTCTCTTCTTTTAGTGATAGTATGACTGCTCTTATTTCTGCCACTAGTATATGTGGTCTTGTTTCCATAGGTATTGGTTACTGCTTCTTCCCCTCATCAAAAAATAAATTTGGTATTTAATTTTTCCAGGTATTATCAATACTTTATTTGTCCACGATTACCTCTCCGTTGTCATTAACTTTTGAATATTTGCTCTTATGATTATCTCTTTATTATTTAAATTTACAATTATAAGATACATTCATATTATACCTTTTTCGTAGTTCCTAAAAACTAACCATAATACCTAATATATGTTGACGTTGACAGCAGTCATTCATCAGGACTTCCGTCAACCTACACTATGTACCAACCTATACTTAACATTAACAAGTGTACTTACTCTTCTGTTTTTATATTTGCATGTAAGTTCTCTTACCTTTTTTTTTTCTTTTCTTGGCATTTTTCTCGTGTTTTTTCTGTTTGGCTTCTCTGATCTTTCTCTGTATATCTCGTTGTAATGTTTTATCATCATCATCATTTGGCTCTACAACTCTATGTGAGTCTTGGCTGCGTTTACTATTTTCCTCCATTGTTGTCGGTCCTGGGCAGCTATTTCCCATTGCTGTATTCCCATTATGCGTAGATTACTGGCTACTGCGTCCTTCCATCTCTTTCTTGGGCAACCAACTGACCTTCTGTCATCGGGTCATTCCTAGAATTTGTCATTCAGGAGTCTTTCGTCACTCGATCTTAGCATATGGCTCGCCCATCTTATTTGATTTGCTATAATGTGGCGTATTATATTTTCATTTCCATATACTGTCTGGAGTTCATCATTGTGTCTGATTCTCCATTCTCCTGTTGACTCTTCTCTGCAAGGCCCATAGATAAATAAAGCAAGAAAGCTCTGCAAAAAAGATACAGTATATTTCTTTCCAGTACCAGTAATTTTGTCGTTTCCCGCTGGTTGAGGGTCAATGTCTCACTTCTATACGTTATTTTGGGACGAATTATTGTCTTATACACTCTTATTTTTGCTGATAATGAGAATATTTTTGATTAAAGTACGGTCATTAATGAGTAATATGCCCTGTATCCTGCAATGATCATGGCTGCCACATCCTTTTCATATTTATTTTTAGATGTTATAATCGCTCCCAGGTACTTGAATTCTTTGACGACTTCAAAGTTGTACTCATTGATTGTTACGTTTTGTCTAACCCTTGGCCTCGGGTTCTTCGTAACCGCCATGTACTTGGTCTTGTCTTCGTTGACCTTAAGACCAACTTCCTTGGCTAATGTTTCATACATAGAGTTATTGTTCTTGTTTTTCCTTTTTTCTTCCATCAGCTGCAGAATCTCGTCATTTATGTCTTATTCTTTCCTTTTTCGATCTTCATAAAATTGTCTTTAATGCGTCTATCGTTTTATTAAGGGATTCTATCTTTACTTTTGTGCTTTCCGTTGTATTATAGATTTTGTTTAAATTTTCTAGTTATTGCTTTGCTGACTATTTCTTTTACTTTACCCTTATCTCATGGTTTTTACAGTTTTTCCGCGTGTTTTCTTCAACTTGGTTCTATACACGCCCACTAAAGGATTGTGGTCAGATTAAATATCAGTGGCTGGCTAGGTTTTAACATTGTTAAAACTATTTCGATATCGTTTGTTAACAAGTACATCATAGTCTATTTGGTTTCTTATCTAAACGTTTTCGTTGTCTCTAGGTGACTTCCACGTATACAGGCGTCTAGGTTGTAGTTTGTAAAATGTGTTTAGCACGATTGCGCATTGGATTTTTCCTGATTGAGAAGTAGTCCTAACGTTCCAAGTGGATACCTACCTACCTACCCTACCCCGCCCTACCCTACCTAACTCGTCCGCCCGAAGCCGTTGGTCAGCAAGTGGAGGATTGCTTATACCGGCAATCATTCGGTGAATTGATTGTTGGTCCACGGGAAGTATTTTATTTCCCTTCTATCCACTGGTAAACTGGCTCGGGCATTTCGCTATCTGCCACCTGGGGATTCGCTTTCTAGGAGTTTCAGGTTCTCCCGAGAGTGATGTCGTTTAACCACCGTTTTTGTAGTCTCCAATATACAATGTTTCTCAATTTATTATTTATCATTATGCTAGCTGTAGAGTCACTTTTTTCAGTTCTGTTTTATTTTATATATTTCGTTTTTTTACGTAATGGAGTAGTGATTCAAAATGTTCGTAATGTGGTATCTTCGAGATGTGATGCTGTCCGTAATAGTGGAAAGGCAAGGTGGACGAAGGAGCTTATTCCCTATCTGAGACCTTGGTGGGAATGTAAGTTTAGGAAACTAGACTACTTCTTGACGCAGTTTCTGACCGGGCATGGTAGTTTTGGCACCTTCACAAACAGAATAGGCAAATCTGCCTCGGCCTACTGCACTGTTTGTGGGGTACCGGACGCTCCCGCCCACATTTTTAACTGCCAGAGATGGGCAAATGAGATGGGAGATTTCGAGAGACGAATGGGTTTCGGGCTGGATGAAAGAATAATTGTAAACATAATGTTGAGAGGAGAGAAAGAATGGAGACAAGTACACTGTCTGATTTCTAGAGTAATGAAGAAAAAGAAGCAGGAGGACAGAGGAGGAAATTGAGCCAGGGATCTGAATATTATAGTTAATATTATTTATTAGTTTATGGCCTAACGTGTGAAAAATTTTCTGATTTACTGTAATAGGTATGGTTATTTATAAATTTTTAGTTTTTTTTATTTTAGTTGTTTATTGAGTGTCAAGATCACCTCTCTGGAACGGTGGTTAAGGTTTTAGCCGGAACACGGTTAATCCGGCACTACCCTGGGGTCTTATGGCTTAGTATCCCACTCGGCCGAAAGATACCAGGGTGTCTTGTTTCGTGACGCAAATGTCCAAAAAAGATTTCCCCCACCGTTTCCTGTCAGAATTCAATGGATACCTTATTAGGCTCTTACTGGAATCTGGCAATACGGCAATTAAAAAAAATGGCATCGGCTACCCATGCTGTGCCGCAGAGCTTCTGAATGGTATTATTTCTGGTTTTTAGCTTCTTGACAACTGTACTTAAATGTTTATCCAAGGCCACGCCTAGATATTTTGGATGTATATTGTGGTTGAGTTGTATGTTATCAAAGTAAACGTTAAGGGTTCTTGACGCCAGATTGTTGTTTAGGTGGAAGCAGGTTACTTCGGTCTTGGAGGCATTGGGGCGAAGTCTCAATTTTGGAAAGTAATTTTCCATAACCTCTGGGTCTTACGTATGAAACTTTTCAGCTTCTTCTAGTGACTTTGTTTGGAATAATAAAACCCAGTCATCAGCATAGCCAAACTTTGTTGATGTTGTTGTCGGCATGTCTGCGATGTTAAGGCTAAAAAGCAGTGGTGCGACTACTGAGCCTTGTGGCAGACCATTTCTGAGTTTTCT